CAGCCACCATCGCCTCCGCTCGCGGCACGCCCGGGGGCTGCAGCCGCCTTCGGGGCCACCTCTGCTGCTCGGGACGCAGCTCACAGCCCCTTCCCAACGCGACACGCTCCGGCCTGCCTGTTTCGCTGCGCCTTTGCCCGGCGAGCACGCTGCTCCGGGGAAGAGCTCTGCAGCCCGCTGGGGCTGGGGAGCGGGGTCCCAGCCAGGTCCAAGGAGCTCTGCACGCCCGGCAGGAGCCACGAGGGACCGTCCCACGTGAGGGGAGCAACCCCTGCGCCCGGGGAGAGTGAGCCAGCACCCCCCTGCGCCCCCCAGGCTGGGTACTGGGCCCCACAGCCAGGGGCCTCCCCGGTGCCTAAAGCTTCGGGATTTGGAGGTTTCTTCTAAATTCAAGCTGTGGCAACTCCAGCAGGCGAGAAAGGCAGCAAGCAAGCAGCTCCTGACTTCTCCTTTGATGTGTCATTGGGAGCCTCGTCGCCCCTCGGGAAGGAGAAATCCCTGGCAGGACCAGGTGTGGGAGGTTAAAACACACGAGTATTCACCACGTGTCCCCATGGGGACCCAGCTGGTCGTGGCTCGCACAGTCGCAGGAGCAGCCTGGGCCGGAGGAGAAGATGGCAGTCCCGGCCCTCGTACCCTCTCCTGGGGTTCGACCAGGAGGTTTCCCTCCCGGCAGGTCCAGCCGAGCAGCGCGTGCGGAAACGTCAGCACGTGCGCAGCCGGGCTGTATGGAACGGTTTGGGTTAGAGGCGTTTCTGACTGTAACGTTTTTAATGTGCCAAGTAGCTCACACACAGCCACAGGCCACACCGGTTATAGAGAAAAGAAATACAAACCTGTTTACATTAAATCCTGATCTATGGACCAGGCCCTGCAACCTCCTATTGACAATCGCCCCTACGTCCTCGGACAGCTGGGAACTGCGGCAGTCACGAATATTACTGGACCTCGGCATCAGCTCAAAGTTAGACACATTGCGGTAGCCCCTTTGTACAGCCTCAGCCTACAAACTATTATAAAAATTATTCAGCTGCTATAAAGGTTGGCTTTAAGTACAGTTTTCTCTCGTGTTTTATTCTGCATGAGGTTTAAAATCACTTTGTTTGCTTTAAGGAAGAAGCAGATGCTAACGGGTATTATACGCTGCGTCTATAGGTCCGTGGGGAAAGAGAAACTAATTCAAATTGTTTTCCTGCTCTCAGAAGGCAATAGAATCACATGACATACACTGCAGAAGCACTCCTTGCTAAAAATAGCAACATTTTAGGGAGATATTTCAATCCTGTCTTGAACTCATTAATTATTCACTTCATCTGCATTTTTTTTAGCATCATCATAAATTTCTATCTTTGCAAGAACAGTACTTCCCCATGCCCTGAAGGAGAAATTTTAAAATAGCCTCTCTTTATCTGGCAGGTTTGACGGATCACGACAGTGCTGTGGTACACTTAACTAGCAGACCTTGAATAAGGGGGTTTGCATTGTACTGCACTCTGGATGACTTCAACGGATTTCAAGCTTACAAATTCAACCTTTATTTTACAAGCTTATCCTGTTTTTACTTTTCGTACTCTTATAACACAGCTACATCTTTTTTGTCCTCCATCACAATTCCCAGAAATTCATGTATTGACGGTAGGCAAATACTTCAACGTGAACTTGGGATGTGGGTTCAGATTTGCAGGGACACTAATAATAATCGCACTTTCAGAGAAGTTAAATAATTGCTTTATAAATTCATCAAAACCTTTCCTTCTAGGGCACCTAGAAATTCTGGTTGTAATCAGAGACCACGAGAGTAAATCGGTGTCAGCGACTTTGGATCAAGCCCTGTAAATAATGTGGGAACCAAAATCCCAGCATATCCTTCTTCCCATGCTCGGGATGAACCTTACGATAATGGCTCATCTAGTACCATGACAGACCGAAACCAATATCCACTAGGATAGCCATCTATGTAGAATCATAAAATCACAGAATCCTTTAGGTTGGAAAAGACCTTTAGGAACATTGAGTCCAACCGTTAACCTAACACTGCCAAGTCCACCACTAAACCATGCACTACTACAACATTACTTAATACTAGCTTACACTCATGTTTTGAGCACACGTGCCTTTATTCAAGCCAGAAATGAGCATAACACAGGGGTGAGGCTGGTCCATGCTGCCAACAAGCACCTTCTTGCCTCATCAGCTTAGGATGGGAAAGTCTTGCTGAAAGCCAACTCTCCCAGTATGGGAAGGAGATGGTGTTTCCTGATCACAAGTGGCTTGCATTTCCCCTTCTGGCTATGCCTTTTAGAAAGTCCCTGTACACACAGTTGAAAAGCAAGGTTTAGCCCTAGAATACCACAGTTTTTGCATACTTTTATTCTAGCAACTAACTTCTCTATCATTTTTCCAGTGCCAATATTTCTTTGTATTATACTTAGTGTCATTAGACATCTTTGTTGAAGGCTGACACAAATACCAAACATACCCAACTGGAACAGCTATGGAAAGTAACCTGCATTCCTGTGAAGGGGGAGGCTGCCTGCCTTGATCAAATCATTTAATTCAGGGGCCAAATAAGGAGGTGACCTCAAAATTATATAAATCAGATGTTGCACCACATACCACGTGTTTTCTATGAGGATTGTTCATAGAGTATTCCACCACAAAGCGATTGATTCTCATTTTACTACATTTCCATGCTTTATCTGTGTTTTTTTTAACCTGTTATTTAACTCAGAACATTCCAATAATTGACTTGTGCAAAGATGCACATATCACAAGGGTGGAAACCCAAGGCAGACTTAATTCAGCAGTCTGATAATGCCTGGTCAGTGTTAGCAAGCCCAGAATCCCTCTCCCTTCCTACATTCCCCAGCATCTAAACAGGGAGAAAAATAATTATGTTATCCTATTTCCAGGTAGATCGGTTAAAAGTGAAATTGTAAATTAATAAAGTAGATAGTTACAGCCATCACAATGAATGATTTGCCAGCTTGTTTAAAAATAGATATCCCTGTGAAGCAGCTAATTGGAAATAAGTGGAAACAGGAGAAAACACATGTACGCTGCCCAGAGAATGGTTTCATGACTGAAGAATGGTAAAACATTTGTGCTGGTTGGTAGTTGAAAACACAGTACAGGGTCCTGTATAAAACATATCAATATTCTTTTTTTCTTTTAAATAACCTTACAGAGGTAACTCAAATTTATTTGTAACGTGACAAAAGGCAACCTCTTCAGACCATCATTCCTAAAATCACAACAAATGCATCATGTCTAGCAAACTATCCTGTTCTATGCCACGTATAGTTTCCCCTTTTGCAAACTGCTACACTGATTCAGTAGACACTTCACAAGGAAGCAGCTAATAGTCCAAGTAACTATTAACAAAAAGTACATCTGATGTAGGTAGCACTTCCTACATACCTGCTGCACATTATCGCTGTGTTAATCCTCCCTGTCTTAATAAAATCATGTTTAAATATATAGTCTCCTAAATGAGTTCATGCAAATCCCTTGTTATGGCTATATGATGTTAATAAAAGCTGCATATGTAGTGAAGAGAAACAACAACAAAAAACCCCTATTCTCTCCCAAAGTGATTTTCTTTGCTGTTCTCCCTACAAACACACATAATTTACGTGCAGCTGGCCCTTCCCATGCCGTAATGCAAACAGCCTCTAGAACATACGAAGTTCAGCTAATAATTAACACTCATCCAGAGTTGTCATAAATAAAGGTGTAGTTTAGCATTTGCTGTGGTGGTGTCTGCTCTCCCACGCTAGCCTGCTAGTCCCTGCCTGGGTGGACAACCTCCAGCCACAACGAGAAGCCCAATACCAGTGTCCTAGCAGTGCCACTTTCCTTTCCAAGTTAGCCCTGCACATCCAGTGCCTGACTTGGGTGAATGTCACAGAGTTTTCTTTGAACAGTTTCTCCAATCAGTGTTTTTTTTTCAGAACGCTTTGTTTAATAATGCGACAGAACATAGGAAAAAAAAAAAAGGGCAGAAAAAAAAAAATCTGCCAAAAGGACTAGCTGACTGTTTTTTGTGTTTGTGTCAG